TTCAAGTAATGCTTTTATCTAACGTTTTAAATAAAATGTTTATTTAATTCTTTTTTTAAAATGTGAATGATTTCCTCTTTTGATCTTCTAATGTTGCGTTTTTAATGATGTAAGCCACCTTGAGTCCTTTTTTGGAGAAAGCTGGAGTGAAAAACATTTTAAATAAATAAATAAAAGTGGTGTTTCCAAACTCTTGTGAAATTCCTCCCTCTGAGGCAAGAGGAAGACAAAGGCTGGTTGTTTCCTCTCCCTCCCCCCACCCTCCATAGTTTGCACAGAGCGTCTCTGGGTGAAACGAGCATCCTTTCTCTTTGAAGGTTAAAGCAAAATGCACACACAGGCGTTCACACACGTGCATGCACAGCAAACGGAAAACGATCGGCCGATCCTTCAAAATGATGCCGAACCCCCCCAATCATCCTATTTCTCAGGAGCCCATGAAAGAAAGCTGCAGCTATCAGTGATTCAGTACCCTCCCCCCCCTTAAGAGCCAAATTATTTCTTGCAAGTGTGAAAACACTTGTTCGGACCACCCTCACTGAGCAAGGAACATGATGGGTTCAACAGGAAGCTAGCTTTAGGTTGAATATCAGGAAAAAACTTCCTAACTGTTAGAGCAGTAAAACAAAGGAACCCATGATCGCAGGAGGGAGGTGGTGAGGGCTCCAACTCTGGAGGCCTTCAAAGGAAAACCAGACCATCGTCTGTCTGATCTGTTCTGATCTGGATTCCTGCCTTGAGCAGGGGGTTGGACTGGATGGCCTCAGAGGTCCCCTTCCAACTCCCATCATGCTACAATGACAGCTTTCTGATTCCTGCCCACGAGAGCCAATCCTGTGAGGAATCACATCCAAACACACACACACACACACACACACACACACACACACACACACACACACACCCCCCTTCTCCCTACACACACACACACACCCCTTCTCCTTCTGCCGAGATCCCCCCCCGCACCGGTTTACCTTCCAGCTGTTTCCAAACGATGCCTCGGACAAGGTGAGCTGTCCCGACCGGAGGCGCAGATCGTCCTGCGGGTAGCTGTTGAAGTTGCCACAGAGCCCGCAGGTCTGGCCTTTGTAGGTGCCGGCCACGCTGACTTCCAGGTGGGAACGCCCGTTCCAGAGGACCTGAGGAGGGGCGAGCAGGAGGGGGAGAAGGACAGCGGTGGGTCCCCGAAGCCTCGGGGCTCCGGACAGAACCCAGTTGGCTGTGGGCCGAGCAGCGTGGCAGCATGGCTCCTTCCATCCCTGGCTGGAGACCGCCCCGTTACAAGGCACGGGGGTTATGGCTGGGCCAGGAGACGCTGGAGACCCCTCTCTCTGCCTGACCTGCAAAAAAGCCCTAACCACTCATGCAATGGATGGTTCTGCCTATAGAGTCAGGGAAGAGGACCTGAGCCTTTGCACTGACCCATAGAAGCAAAGCAAAAGCAAAGTGTGTTGCTCATAGGGTGCCCCACAGCGTTCAAAGCGCTCCCTGGGCAGTTTATGATTTAATTACACAGGCTACACATTCGGCCCCCACTCCCCTCCTTCCCTTGCAAGCTGGGCACTCCTTTTAACGACCTCGGAAGGCTGGAATGCTGAGGGAACCTTGAGCCGGCTCCCTGGGATCAAACTTGGGTTGCGAGCAGAGTTTTGACTGCAGTGCTGCCATCTTTCTGACAACAGCCACACATGCATTGGTAACAACCAGGCTGGACTACTGCAATGCGAGCTACGTGGGGCAGCCCTTGAAGATGGTCCGGCAATTGCAACTGGCACAGAACAGGGCTGCGTGGCTGGTAAGTGGTGGGGCCGCACGGACTCATATCACGCCAGTTCTGAAAAATTTACACTGGCTGCCGGTTGCTGCTGCTCGGGCCCAATTCAAAACGCTTGCTTTGACATATAAAGCCCCAAACGGCTTAGGATACGGTTACCTAAAGGACCTCCTTCTTCCATACGAGCCTGCCCGTGATCAGGCCAGGAGGCCCTTCTGATGGTGCCATCCCTGAAAGAGGTGAGGGGTGTGTGTGGCATGCTGAAATAGGGCCTTCTTGGCTGTCCGCCCCCCCCCCAACTTTGGAATGCCCTCCCTATAGAGACCCGCCTGGCTCCAACACTTTTGGCTTTTCAGCGCCAGGCAAAGACCTTTCTGCTTAGCCAGCATTTTGATTAAGTAGTATCCCATAGTTGGCCATATGAGCAGCAGGATTTATTAATATTAATGTTTTCATGATTTTTTTAAAAAAATATAGGATATTATTATAATATTGCCTATTTTTAATGGTTTCAATGTTTTCAAAGTTTCAATATTGTTGTACGCCGGTCAGAGGCTGCTGGTAATGGCACAGCTAAAAAATCTTGTAAATAAATAAATAAATTTAACCACTGATGCCACTCCCGCCCCCAGCGTGGCATCTGGGTGGCCACTAAGGGCAAAAGGTGGGTGAGTGGGGGGCTATAATCTACCTTCCCAAACCGAGTGCTCTCCAGGTGGGTGGAACTATATTCTGGGTCATGAGGGGAACGGTAGTCAAGCAGATCTGGAAGATGCCAAATCAGTGGCGGTGGGGGGCGCACAGAGTGGGAGGAGGGTGCTCCCCGAAAGGTACTGTTTGTTCCCCCAGATGTGGCTCCCAGTGGAGAACGGCCGGCTGGCTTCACGCTTTCTGGCTCCACAAGGGCTTGGGAAGGATGAATCCTGCAGGGAGGGGGGCTCTTGCATCCTCCCATCCCAGTTTGTCCCCCCCCCTGCTGCTCTCTAGGACAACCTTTGAAAACAGGGTCCGCTGGCCGAGGGAGAGAGAGAGACCGTCTCGCCTCCCCCTTCCCATATTTGCAACCCTCTGTGACACCCCCCCTCCCCGCGCCCGCAATGCCCCTTCCCCTCTTTGCACCTTGACGCCAATGTTGGTGTTCAGCAGGAGCGTGGTGGCCTTCAGCTCGATGTACAGGTGGGGCTCTTTCAAGAAGGGGAGGGTCACGGTTTGGGCGTCTACCTGGGAAACCAAAGGAGGGGTGCCGTAAGCAGGGGGGCGGGCCAAGTCTTTGGGCCTGACTCCCGATGAAAGACAAACTTTTTCTCCCCCCCCACCCCAGGAGAAAGGGAGAGGATGGGTGGGTTCTGTGTGGGGAGGGGGTCTGAGGCTTGTGAAACCCCCTCCCCCCCAGAGGGTCCGATCCCTCTGCCCTTTGCCACTGTTTGCAAAGGGCGCACACACACACACACACACACACAGAGGTAGAGGTGAGGGTCCCGGGGTGTTTCCTCCCCTCGCTGCTTGTGCTGCAGCCAGGACCCCCTCCACCACAGGAGGCTTTCCTGGGAGTAAAAGCCCAGCGCCACTCTCTTGGCTCCCCTCACCATGACCACGCGGTCCTGGAGCAGCCGCACGGTGGAGTCCCCGACCAGCACGGTCACCTCCTTCGTCCAGGACACACCCTGGCGCCCACGGTCATCGTTGGTCACGTGGATGCTGTTGAGGGGGGAGGAGAGAGTGGCAGAGGGTCAGGGCCTTCCCCAGAGGGTGCCACAGGGCAGGGCTCACCCCTTTTCTCCAGAGGGATGGCAGGGTGGGTGGTGGGAGAACCTCCCTCGCCTCGGCTCTCTCGCTCTCCCTGGCTTCTTCTCTTAACCTGTTGGACAGCAGAGGCTCCCGAAGGGTGAAGCCACGGAACAGCGGCTGGCATGTCCGGCTTCCTTGGCCACAGCCATAAAAAAATACGCTGAGTGGTCAGAAGGGCTGCCGGGGGGGGGGCTGCCTGCACCCATAGGGTTCATCTGGCCCCCTCACCAGGGCCCTCAGTCTGGCCCACAGATTCTGATTTATGGCAACCCCTCCCAGCCTATTCTGTGTGTAAATAAAACCTCAGAATAGTTTCCCACTCCCTCTTTCTGGTGGCCTTTGGGGGCTGTGCTATTTCATCATCATCTTCATCATTATCTTAGAACTGCAGGGCTGGGAGGGACCCTCCAGATCACTGAGTTCAGCCTCTGTCAGGGAGGCCCAGTGGGGGAATCGAACTCCCAACCAGATGTGTGCTCCACAGGCAGATGCTTAAACCCCTGGCGATCCAGATTCACCCAAGGCTGCTCGGGGGGCAAGGCAGGTGACCCCAGCCACCGCTCACGCCGACCCTCCTTATGTTCATCTCCTCTGGAGTTCCCTTTCCTTCACAGCCAAAAGGGACAAGGGGGTCTCCTCCCTGGCCCCAATCCTGAGTCGTGATTGTCCCTAAGATTCTGCATCTTCATTTACCTCCCCCTCCGGGAGAGCAAGCCTCCGTTCCCCTCCTCGGCTGACCCAGGGGAGCAAACGGAGAGGCCAAACGTTACCTGAAGTCTCCCCCATCACAGTCCTGGGCCAGGACGTAGGTACAGCTGCCCTGGAAATGCACCATCCTGCCGTCAAAGGTGCGGTAGTGCGGGTCGCCGAAGACGACGCAGGTGGCGGGACGCGGGACGCAGTGCGGACAGCACATGCCCGGGATCAAGGTGGGCATCTCGTCCTGTCCGGCAAGGAAACAGGGGAGGTGGGGAGAGCATCAGGACCGCCTTGCCCGCCCCTACTCCAAAAATCATCGGTGCCATCCGTGTTCTGAACTACTATACGATGAGCACAAGACAGCGAGCCAGGCCACGCCGGCGGAGGGCTTCACCCCAAACCAGATTGCCTGCTGCAACAATCCTCAACCTCTGGTCTCCAGGTTGGGCTTCCCTCTCCCAGAAGCCTTCAGCCAGCGTGGCCAAGAGGGATTCTGGGAGCTGAAGTCCATAACATCTGGAGGGACAGAGAACCCCTGGTTTGTGAGCGTGGCGTCTGGAAACAGCGTGGAAGACCACAGCCCGGCCAGTGGGTCTTGAGGGGCGTCCCAGAGCCCAGGGCTGTGGGATCCACAGACCGCTCCCACCCTCCAACTCACGGCAGCGCAGGCAGTGGGGGGGCAGCGCTCGGTCCGGCAGTGCACCTCCCCGGACAGACAGGTACAGGTCGTGCACTCGTCCACTTGCCAGCGCTCGTTGGCCCCAAACGTCTGGCCTCGGTGGGAGCAGCGGCTGGCGGGCCCTGAGAGGGGAAGGGGACGTGGGGGGAGGACAGAGCGGGACGCCGGTCAGGTTCTGGAGACTCAAGAACCCGTTCTTCTCTTGAAGCAAAGCAGACACACACACACACACACACACACACACACACACACAAAAGTTCCAAGGAGGGCAACCAGGAGGATTAGGGAATAGGAAAACGAGCCTGGGGGAAGGAAAGGCTGAAAGAACTGGGCCTGTTTAGCCTTGAGAAAAGAAGGCAAGAGGGGTGATTTTCAAAGACCTGAAAGGCTGTCTTACAGAGGAGGGGCAGGATCCATTCCCCATCCTCCCAGAGTGCAGGACACGCAATCATGGGCTCAAGTTAAAGGAAGCCAGATTTTGGTTGAATATCAGGAAAAGCTTCCTAACTGTTCGAGTGGTATGACAATGCATTCCAACTCTGGAGGCCACCAAGAGAAAATCAGACCACCGTCCATCAGATGGAGGTGACGAGCGTTCCAACTCTGGAGGCCTTCAAGAGAAAATCAGACCACCGTCCATCAGACCGGCTTGGATTGGGGTTCCTGTCTTGAGCAGAGGGTTGGACCGGATGGCCTTAGGGGGGCCCCTTCCAGCTCCTTTATGATTCTAGGACTCTACAACTCCCATGATCCCTTGCCTGGGGCTCTGCTGGCTAGGGCAGATGGGAGTGGGAGTCCATGAACATCGGGAGGGCCACCAGTGGTCCATTTCTGCCTCTTGGTTCTGAGGCGGGAACCGGTCCGAATCCCCAGACAGAGAGAGGGTGTGGCATCAAAAGGAACCACGCCCTCCGCCACGACTGATCATGCTGGCCAGCAATGGCAGGAACGACCATCCCATGACCTTGGAGGGCTGCGTGGTTCCTAGCCTTGCTGCAACACCCCTGTAAGGTAGGTTCCTCATGAGGCTCCCCTTTCCTTTTGGACTGAGTGGGGACTTGGCTTCAGACGAGCTGGTCAGTTCAGGGCAGGGAACTGGGGTCTCGTCTGAGCTCCGCAGGAACATCAGCTCTTGGCTGCGCAACCTTACGCCAACTCGGAAGTAGTACAGTAGTCATCCTCATCATTATTGTCTGAGAATGGCAGAGCCGGAAGGGGTCCCATGGATCAATGAGCTCAACCTCTTGTCAAGGAGGCCCAGTGAACCTCTGGCTCGGCAGCCGGAGACCTAAGCCTCTGAGTTATCCAGCAGTACGTCCCGTTCTGGTTGGAGGGACTTCCGGCCAGCTCAAGTGTGCCTAGGGGTGGCAACCTAAAAGCTTTCAGAAAAGGGATGAGATGCGCTCAAGGGGAGGCAGTGTGCAGGTGGCGCATCCCATTTGGGAGCCCGGAGAGTTTACCTTTCCACCTGTTTACAGGATCCCCTGATCCCTGAGCACCAAGTGGCTGGCCATGAGAAACAGGAGGCCAGCATCCGACAGAACACCCACCTAGTGGAAATTTCCACCTGTGCAATAGAAAGCAAGCTCACGCTAGTTGTGCCAGTGTGGCTGTTTGCACAAACAGTGATCTCCAGGGAAGAGACCCAGCCCTTGCTTGCACAACGGCCATGCCATGAAAATAGCTACGGAAGCCACACAAACACAAACCCCGACAACGGGGGTGAAGACAAAAACAGGAAGAACGAGGCTGCTGAACGGGGACTCAGCACACCGTCAAGAACGTGGCGGGCAGAACCTGCACGGAGCGACTCAGAAAAAAAACACATTCAGGAAAAGCAACGACGAGCCACACGAATCAGAGAGAGAAGCCACCCTTCTGCTTCCGAGGCACATTCTCCGTGACGTCTCCTGCTGGGAGACAGGAATCCAAAGGGAGACATCATCACCCTTTTCCCAGAAGGATGATATTGTGACCTGGAACACTTGTTTATATAACTGGGAGCCACCACCAAAGAGTCCCTGCTTTGAGCTAGCCGGAGTGTCGTGGACAGATTTAACGAGAAAGGAAAGAAAGGCTCTCAATAGCTCAGCCAGCAAAGGGGACGCGCGTTCAATGAGCCTACCTTGGCATCGGGCACAGCACTGCCCTGGCGGCTGAACTTTCACCTGCCCTTCCTGGCACACCACAGGCTCGCATTCCTGGATATGGCACTCAATGTGGCCCAGCTGAACAGCGGAGACAAACAAGACAAGCCGTGAGAATCATAAGGAAGGGTGTGTGTGTCTGTCTGAAGAGTGTGTGTGTGTGTGTGTGTGTGTGTGTGTGTTGGAGTCAGAGCCCTCCACTCCTTTTTACTTATTTAAGTAAAAAGGAGTGCTACTCCTGTCCTCTGAAGATGCCCGGCCACAGAGACGGGCAAAATATTAGGAAGAACAACCTTCAGAACACAAAGAGTTCTGAAAAGAGCCCGAAAAACCCACAACAGCTATTTATTATTTGTTTGTTTGTCTTATTCACAGGCCTCTTTTCTCCTGATAAGGGGACTCGAGATGGCTCGCAGTATTCAAAAGTACAGAAGTAAAAACACAGTGAGATATACTGCACGTTGAAAAGTGACTCTTCTAACCTGAGATCCAGAAGACCTCACAATAACAATATGGGGTTCTCTCCACCTCCTCCTTATTTCCATCTCTCTCTCTCTCTCTCTCTCTCTCCTTCCTTCTGGACATATTTGGATTTTCCCAGCCATTAAAAGAGGTTTGTGTCAGCTATTAAAGGCACTTGAACTTTTAAACTTTTAAAACTACCTCCCGAGAAAACTCTTGCTCCCACGGTATCATACCGGGAGAGAGATTTTACATGACTGAGAAGTAACTTTTCCCAGGTCTGCCCTTTTCCATAATCAGAAGGAGAGCAGATCAGTTTGTTGGACCCAGGTTTTAATGTTCCGCGCACAACCAGGCTAAAAAGGGAATACTTTTCCATTTCAGATTTTTAAAATAGCCTTCTGTAAAATGGGAAGAAGAATAGCCTTTAAGCCAGTTCTAAGGCTTCAGGTATAGCAGACAGAAGAACAGGGCTCATAGCCTTGGCAATTTTAGATAAGATAGATAGATAGATAGATAGATAGATAGATAGATAGATAGATAGATAGATAGATAGATAGATAGATAGATAGATAGATAGATAGATAGATAGATAGATAGATAGATAGATAGA